AAAGAAGAATGCATACAATGCAAGGCAAAGATCAGAGACATTCCGAATAAATCGTTTATCTTGCATTCACCGATCATTCACTGTTCATTTTGCGCTCGAATTTTTGGTCCGTTTGCGTTCTGCGTTTGCTCACTGTTCACCGACCATTCACCAAATTGCGTTCAGCATTCACACATCGTTCAGCGTTTGTTCAGCGTTCATTCACCGTTCGCTCTGCGTTCATTCACCGTTCGCTCTGCGTTCGCTCACCGTTCAAGTGGGAAAGTAGAACATCTGAGGGACTGTATTGATGAGAGCTATTCAACTGCTTCAACATTTTCTGACCTTGACATTTCCTTTGACCTTGACCTCACTTTTCTTAAATTAGCGTCAAACTTCATATGCTGATACATACTGATATAAAGTATTCAACTGCATCAATTTTTTTTGATCTTGGCCTTTCCTTTGACCTTACTTTTTAGCTCACCTGAGCTGAAAGCTCAAGTGAGCTTTTCTGATCACATTTTGTCTGTAGTCCGTCTGTCTGTCTGTCTGTAGCTGTCCATCCGTCTGTAAACTTTTCACATTTTCGACTTCTTCTCCAGAACAACTGGGCCAATTTCAACCAAACTTGCCACAAAGCATCCTTGGGTGAAGGGGATTCAAGTTTGTTCACGCCCTCTTCCAAGGGGAGATAATTAAGAATTGGTGAAAAGAAACTGGGGGGATAAGCCGAGTCATATGCCTACATAACGATCGATAAAAAATCAATAAATTCATTTTACAAAAATTTCACTTTTTGTTGAATTAGTGTAATGCTTATTACCATTTGCATATAAATTTGACAAAACCTGAATACTGTAACAGCGAAAATGATTCTGATTAACACAACAAAGTGGCATCACCCTCAATTTTCACAGAAACTGACATAAATTGGATGATATAACTACATTTTTTAAATAGAGTGGGTCATCGTACCATTTTTTTGACAACGATTAATGAAAGGCAATGGAAAGATGTTGCTTTTTACACTTGCAAAAATTTGGTATGAAGACCCACTCTACATAAAAAATTAAGTTAACTTACTTAAATTTTCACCGTGGTCTTAAAAAATTCTAAGTCCAAAAACGCTTGCTAAATATAGAGAACTGTAAGCTATTTAAATGGACATGTTAGTGCGTCTCCGTGGTCTAGTGGTCAGCGAGGAGCTCTTTAAAGGGACGTTTATTGAGGAAAGTGTTCGAGTCATGCTCTAATTTTTTGATTTTTTTTTTTTTTTTTTTTTTTGGTTGTTGATTTTTTTGGTTTTAATTTTGTTTTACTTTATAAAAAATGTCTATAGGAATAACATATTTTTCACTGGAAATAAAATATATACATGAAGTAATGAACTTATTTACAGTAAATTATTTAAAATGCCGGATAAAAATTATAATAGATATTTGAATACTTTTATTCCCGTTTTATTTATTTTACATAAAAGCGCTTCTAGATCACCATTATCATTATATACGATGTTAACATTTTTATAATATCTCCACAATAAGTGTAAACACTCAATATGCAGATTAATTAATAGAAGTCCCTACCCATATTAGACATTTGTGACAGTAAATGAAAGTCAACTGTTTAACTTGTTTAGAATATAAATATCATTTTGAAAACTACGGTAAACATTAAAATGCTTAAGTAAATTCGAACAATTGAGAGATTTTTTCCAATAAATGTTCTTGCATAGCCGAAAAATGGGCATGGGCACATGGCTCGTCTTATCCCCCCAGATTCTTTGGTGTCATCTTTTAAAAATCTTCTTCTCAAGAACCATTGAGCCAGAAAAGTTTATACTGATGTGAAACCTTCATTACATAGTGTAGATTCAAGTTTGTTCAAATCGTGACCCCCGGGGGTAGGGTGGGGCCACAATGGGGGATCAAAGTTATACATAGGAATATATAGGGAAAATCTTTAATAATCTTCTTCTCAAGAACAACAAAGCCACAATTAGTCATATTGATATGGAATCATCCTCAGGTAGTGTAGATTTAAGTTTGTTCAAATCATGATCCCCGGGAGAAGGGTGGGGCCACAATGGGGGATCAAAGTTTTGTATTGGAATATATAGAAAAAAAAATCTTCTTCTCAAGAACATCAGAGTCACAATTAGTCATATTGATATGGAATCATCCTCAGGTAGAGTAGGTTCAAGTTTGTTCAAATCATGACCCCCGGGGGTAGGGTGAGGCCACAATGGGGATCCAAGTTTTACATAGGAATATTTAGGGAAAATCTTAAAAAATCTTCTTCTCAAGAACAACAGAGCCACAATTAGTTATATTGATATGGAATCATCCTCAGGTAGTGTAGATTCAAGTTTGTTCAAATCATGACCCCTGGGGGTAGGGTGGGGCCACAATGAGGGATCAAAGTTTTGTATAGGAATATATAGAAAAAAAAATCTTCTTCTCAAGAACAACAGAGTCACAATTAGTCATATTGATATGGAATCATCCTCAAGTAGTGTAGATTCAATTTTGTTCAAATCATGACCCCCCGGGGGTAGGGTGGGGCCACAATGGGTGATCAAAGTTTTACATAGAAATATATAGGGAAAATCTTTAAAAATCTTCTTCTCAAGAACAACAAAGCCACAATTAGTCATATTGATATGGAATCATCTTCAAGTAGTGTAGCTTCAAATTTGTTCAAATCATGACCCCTGGGAGAAGGGTGGGGCCACAATGGGGGATCAAAGTTTAACATAGGAATATATAGGGAAAATCTTTAAAAATCTTCTTCTCAAGAACAAGAAAGCCACAATTAGTCATATTGATATGGAATCTTCCCCAAATATTGTAGATTCAAGCTAGTTTAAGGCATCCTCCAGTGGTAGGGTGGGGCCATAATGGGGGATCAAAGTTTTACAATAGAACATATACAGGAAATATCTTTAAAAATCTTCTTCAATCTCAAGAACAACAAAGCCACAATTAGTCATATTGATATGGAATCATCCTCAGGTAGTGTAGATTTAAGTTTGTTCAAATCATGATCCCCGGGAGAAGGGTGGGGCCACAATGGGGGATCAAAGTTTTGTATAGGAATATATAGAAAAAAAAATCTTCTTCTCAAGAACATCAGAGTCACAATTAGTCATATTGATATGGAATCATCCTCAGGTAGAGTAGGTTCAAGTTTGTTCAAATCATGACCCCCGGGGGTAGGGTGAGGCCACAATGGGGATCCAAGTTTTACATAGGAATATTTAGGGAAAATCTTAAAAAATCTTCTTTTCAAGAACAACAGAGCCACAATTAGTTATATTGATATGGAATCATCCTCAGGTAGTGTAGATTCAAGTTTGTTCAAATCATGACCCCTGGGGGTAGGGTGGGGCCACAATGAGGGATCAAAGTTTTGTATAGGAATATATAGAAAAAAAAATCTTCTTCTCAAGAACAACAGAGTCACAATTAGTCATATTGATATGGAATCATCCTCAAGTAGTGTAGATTCAATTTTGTTCAAATCATGACCCCCCGGGGGTAGGGTGGGGCCACAATGGGGGATCAAAGTTTTACATAGAAATATATAGGGAAAATCTTTAAAAATCTTCTTCTCAAGAACAACAAAGCCACAATTAGTCATATTGATATGGAATCATCTTCAAGTAGTGTAGCTTCAAATTTGTTCAAATCATGACCCCTGGGAGAAGGGTGGGGCCACAATGGGGGATCAAAGTTTAACATAGGAATATATAGGGAAAATCTTTAAAAATCTTCTTCTCAAGAACAAGAAAGCCACAATTAGTCATATTGATATGGAATCTTCCCCAAATATTGTAGATTCAAGCTAGTTTAAGGCATCCTCCAGTGGTAGGGTGGGGCCATAATGGGGGATCAAAGTTTTACAATAGAACATATACAGGAAATATCTTTAAAAATCTTCTTCAATCTCAAGAACAACAAAGCCATGATCAGTCATATTGATATGGAAGCATCCTCAGGTAGTGTACAATCAAGTTTGTTCAAATCATGACCCCCCCCCCCCCCCCCCCCCAGGGTAGGGTGTTAGACATATTTAAAATTCTGTTTTAAAGAACAGCAAAATCATGATTAGTTATATGAAGATAGAAGCATCCTCAGAAGGTTTATATTCAATTTCATTCAAAACATGGCACCTTGGGGTAGGGTATGCCTAGAACAGGCGATCAAAGCTTTATATATGAATATATAGGAGAAATATAGGAGAAGAAATCTGCTGACGAAGAACAGCAGGGCCATATTGACTCAGGTGAGCGTTGTGGCCCATGGGCCTCTTGTCTCAATTTGTGTTTAACTCAGGTTTTAAAGAAAACATTATATATTTTTTTATTAAACTTCATATGCTAATATATACTGATGTAACCTTTTCCACTGCATCAACATTTTTTTACCTTTCCTTTGACCTTAACTTCATTTATTTTAAATTAGTGTTTAGCTCAGTTTTAAATAAACCATTCAAAATATTTTTATCAAACTTAAATATGCTGATATGTATTTGTGAGAAGTATTCAACTGCATCAAAAACATTTGACCTTGAACTTTCCTTTGACCTTGACCTCACTTTTCTTAGGTTTGCATTTCGCTTAATTTAAAAGAAACCATTTAAGATATATTTATGTAAGTTTATGCACTTACACATAATTTGGTGAGAATTTATCATCTATATCCAACTTTTTAGATTTCAATTTCAATTTTAAAGAAACTATTCAAGATATTCTCATCAAATTTCATACACTAATACAAATTTACATGTTGCATTACTAATATACCCTCAGCGGGCATTCATGTCCTATGTACATATTTCTAGTTCTTTCTCCATATACAAACTCTCTAGTTCTTCCACCCTTGTCTTTTTTACTTAAACAGGGGACACCAATTCTCTGAATTAGCTTGTCATCCATTAAAGGCAAAAATAAAATCTGGTGCACTAGTATATGAAGAATTTGTTTATATAATAAGTTAAGGGGATTTTTTTTTCAGGTGTGCATGATGCAAGTTCTTGGATTGTGTGTAGTCTATGAAATTCACATTTATTCTAGGGTAAGTATGTTTAATGTCAATTTTTTCTTCAATCTACTTTGTTGTTCGAGCATTAATCTTTATTAGGTCACCTGAGTCACTCAGGTGACCTATTGCTATCCATTCTCATCCGTCGGCGTGCGTCGTGCGTTAACATTTGGAACATTTTTAGCTTCTTCTCTGAAACCGCTTAACCAATTTCAACCAAATTTGGCATATAGCATCTATGGGTGAAGGGGAACAAAAATTGTGAATTTCATGGTCCCTGCCCCCCTGGGGCCTGAGGGGTGGGGCTAAAACCACCAAAATTCATGCAATCTTTAAAAATCTTCTTCTTTACTCCTGGACATCAAGCAGTCAAACTGTTGGCATGATTGTAATAAGCATTGAGCCCTCAACCAAAATTGTGAAATTCATGGCCCCAGGGTCAGGGGTTCTGGCCCCAGGGTGGGGCTATATAGATCATATAGTGAAAGTGCATTATTTCTTTGAAAATCTTCTTCTCTGCTCCTGGGTATCAAATAAGGTAACTAAGTACATAGTTATGAAGAGCAAGACTGCCTCTTCCAAAATTGTGATATTCATGGCCCCAGGGTCAGGGGTTCTGGTGTTAGGGCGGGGCTCTATTGATTATATAGTGAAAATGCATTAATTCTTTGAAAATCTTCTTCTCTGCTCCTGGGTATTAAATAAAGTAACTAAGTTCATAGTTATGATGAACAAGAGTGCCTCTTCCAAAATTGTGAAATTCATGGCCCCAGGGTCAGAGGTTCTGGCCCCAGGGTGGGGCTATATAGATCATATAGTGGAAGTGCATTATTTCTTTGAAAATCTTCTTCTCTGCTCCTAGGTATTAAATAAGGTAACTAAGTACATAGTTATGATGAGCAAGAGTGCCTTTTCCAAAATTGTGAAATTCATAGCCCCGGGGTTAGGGGTTCTGGTGTAAGGGCCGGGCTCTATTGATTATATAGGGAAAATTCATTAATTCTTTGAAAATCTTCTTCTCTGCTCCTGGGTATTAAATAAAGTAACTAAGTACCTAGTTATGATGAACAAGAGTGCCTCTTCCAAAATTGTGAAATTCATGGCCCCAGGGTCAGGGGTTCTGGTGTTAGGGCGGGGCTCTATTGATTATATAATGAAAATGCATTAATTCTATTAATTAATCATTAACTAATCCTGTCTGCTCCTTAGTGTTGAGCTGATAAATAAATTGCTTAGCTATGATGAAGATGGGAGCTTCGAACAGAATTTTTAAATCTTGTGGTCCTAGGGTCAGGGGTTCTGGCATAACGAGGGGGGGGGGGCTTTTGATAATATAGTGGAAAAGTGTTAAATCTTTGAAGTCCATAGTTATGATGATGAGGGTAACTCTTCCAAATTTGTAAATTTCTTGACCCTTGGTCTTGGGTTCTGGTGTTAGGGTAAGGCTTTGTTGAATCTGTAGTGAAAATGCATTTTACCTGTGAAATTCTTCTCTTCTTCTGGGCATATCGAAAGCAAACTGAGTAAAAGTTTAAATGATATAAGTAAGCGTATTTCTACCAGATTTTTGAACATCTGGACAATTTGTCTAAGCATTCTGGTCCTGGACAGGGCTCTATTAATTTGTATTCTACTGAGAGAAGTTATTCCCCTTTTCCATTCACCTTTGATAATTAATCACTGTAAATAATGTATTTGAAAGGTTAATAGAATAAGATAATTATGCAAGAATGTTTATCGTATAATTCAAAAAGTACTTTCTTAGTTTTAATAATCAGGCAGACCTGTAAGTAATAGATAAATAAAAATGAGACAAAAATAACTTATGAAAAGTTCTTCAAAGACCATAAGAGAGGTCAATGCTAGAGGTCTTAATATGGGTTTAAAAATAGTACAGAAGCACTAATAGTTTGTTAATAGTCTGCATGGTGATAATGTTAAGTGGGGGACAGATTAGAACTTAAGTTATGAGTTGATACTGAATACTAGACTAATTATTTTGTTTATCCTGATCTTCCTTACTTCTCTTGATTTAGGGCAACAAAGCTTCATCTGTCAGTGTATTTAACTTCTAAATTGTTGTATTATACTCAGGTGACCGTTAAGGCCCTTGGGCCTCTTGTTTTTTTTTTGTCATTATCTGCTGAAAGTCTCATTACTTCATGAATTTAGTTAAAAGCTTTATTGTAATAAATGATGTAAATATTGCCTTGTGTGAGACCTAAAGTCATTAACAGGATCAGAACTTCCTTGTTGTCCCTGAGAGCAGACAATAATGGAATTGAAAGCAGTTATTTGCCCTACTTTAATAAAGGTAAGGCTACTTGTTCCTGCCAAATGGCCATGGGTTGTAGTTGATAGGTACAGCTTAGGTCCTGCATATTCTATAGATTCGGCTTTGAGGTCATCATTTTCTGTTAAGTGGGTTCGATTAGAGGGTGGTGTTTTTGGTGAGGTTTGGGTTAGAGGGAGGTATTTTAAGTTAGTATTTTTTATTTGATTGGTTAAAGTTCTTTTCATTTGATTGGTTAAGCTTCTTGTCGTCATTTTGTGTTAGGAGAGGGCGGTGGGAGGTTGGTCTATTTAGCTTGTGGGGTCATCATTTTCTGTTAGAAGGTTTGGGTTAGAGGGAGGTATTTTAAGTTAGTCTTTTGTATTTGATTGGTTAAAGTTCTTTTCATTTGATTGGTTAAGCTTCTTGACGTCATTTTGTGTTAGGAGAGGGCGGTGGGAGGTTGGTCTATTTAGCTTGTGGGGTCATCATTTTCTGTTAGAAGGTTTGGGTTAGAGGGAGGTATTTTAAGTTAGTCTTTTGTATTTGATTGGTTAAAGTTCTTTTCATTTGATTGGTTAAGCTTCTTGACGTCATTTTGTGTTAGGAGAGGGCGGTGGGAGGTTGGTCTATTTAGCTTGTGGGGTCATCATTTTCTGTTAGAAGGTTTGGGTTAGAGGGAGGTATTTTAAGTTAGTCTTTTGTATTTGATTGGTTAAAGTTCTTTTCATTTGATTGGTTAAGCTTCTTGACGTCATTTTGTGTTAGGAGAGGGCGGTGGGAGGTTGGTCTATTTAGCTTGTGGGGTCATCATTTTCTGTTAGAAGGTTTGGGTTAGAGGGAGGTATTTTAAGTTAGTCTTTTGTATTTGATTGGTTAAAGTTCTTTTCATTTGATTGGTTAAGCTTCTTGACGTCATTTTGTGTTAGGAGAGGGCGGTGGGAGGTTGGTCTATTTAGCTTGTGGGGTCATCATTTTCTGTTAGAAGGTTTGGGTTAGAGGGAGGTATTTTAAGTTAGTCTTTTGTATTTGATTGGTTAAAGTTCTTTTCATTTGATTGGTTAAGCTTCTTGACGTCATTTTGTGTTAGGAGAGGGCGGTGGGAGGTTGGTCTATTTAGCTTGTGGGGTCATCATTTTCTGTTAGAAGGTTTGGGTTAGAGGGAGGTATTTTAAGTTAGTCTTTTGTATTTGATTGGTTAAAGTTCTTTTCATTTGATTGGTTAAGCTTCTTGACGTCATTTTGTGTTAGGAGAGGGCGGTGGGAGGTTGGTCTATTTAGCTTGTGGGGTCATCATTTTCTGTTAGAAGGTTTGGGTTAGAGGGAGGTATTTTAAGTTAGTCTTTTGTATTTGATTGGTTAAAGTTCTTTTCATTTGATTGGTTAAGCTTCTTGACGTCATTTTGTGTTAGGAGAGGGCGGTGGGAGGTTGGTCTATTTAGCTTGTGGGGTCATCATTTTCTGTTAGAAGGTTTGGGTTAGAGGGAGGTATTTTAAGTTAGTCTTTTGTATTTGATTGGTTAAAGTTCTTTTCATTTGATTGGTTAAGCTTCTTGACGTCATTTTGTGTTAGGAGAGGGCGGTGGGAGGTTGGTCTATTTAGCTTGTGGGGTCATCATTTTCTGTTAGAAGGTTTGGGTTAGAGGGAGGTATTTTAAGTTAGTCTTTTGTATTTGATTGGTTAAAGTTCTTTTCATTTGATTGGTTAAGCTTCTTGACGTCATTTTGTGTTAGGAGAGGGCGGTGGGAGGTTGGTCTATTTAGCTTGTGGGGTCATCATTTTCTGTTAGAAGGTTTGGGTTAGAGGGAGGTATTTTAAGTTAGTCTTTTGTATTTGATTGGTTAAAGTTCTTTTCATTTGATTGGTTAAGCTTCTTGACGTCATTTTGTGTTAGGAGAGGGCGGTGGGAGGTTGGTCTATTTAGCTTGTGGGGTCATCATTTTCTGTTAGAAGGTTTGGGTTAGAGGGAGGTATTTTAAGTTAGTCTTTTGTATTTGATTGGTTAAAGTTCTTTTCATTTGATTGGTTAAGCTTCTTGACGTCATTTTGTGTTAGGAGAGGGCGGTGGGAGGTTGGTCTATTTACCTTGTGGGGTCATCATTTTCTGTTAGAAGGTTTGGGTTAGAGGGAGGTATTTTAAGTTAATCTCCTTGTATTTGATTGGTTAAGCTCCTTGGGGATCAGGAACTTAGAGAATAGATCCTCAGCCCAATAGGGGCTTGTCGTAAGAGGCGACAGAAGGGTGTAGTTTAAGGGGTAGACTTAGGCTCTGAATTTTCTGAGAGGCTGGACTTTAAGTTGGTGTGTGCTTAAAAAGTACAACCTCCCAGAAAATTCTTCCCTTTAGGTGTTAGGAGGGTTTGGTTAGAAGAGGGTCTTTTTAGTTATTCTGTTTGTATTTGATTGGTTAAAGTTCTTTTCATTTGATTGGTTAAGCTTCTTGACGTCATTTTGTGTTAGGAGAGGGCGGTGGGAGGTTGGTCTATTTAGCTTGTGGGGTCATCATTTTCTGTTAGAAGGTTTGGGTTAGAGGGAGGTATTTTAAGTTAATCTCCTTGTATTTGATTGGTTAAGCTCCTTGGGGATCAGGAACTTAGAGAATAGATCCTCAGCCCAATAGGGGCTTGTCGTAAGAGGCGACAGAAGGGTGTAGTTTAAGGGGTAGACTTAGGCTCTGAATTTTCTGAGAGGCTGGACTTTAAGTTGGTGTGTGCTTAAAAAGTACAACCTCCCAGAAAATTCTTCCCTTTAGGTGTTAGGAGGGTTGGGTTAGAAGAGGGTCTTTTTAGTTATTCTGTTTGTATTTGATTGGTTAAAGTTCTTTGCATTTGATTGGTTAAGCTTCTTGACGTCATTTTGTGTTAGGAGAGGGCGGTGGGAGGTTGGTCTATTTAGCTTGTGGGGTCATCATTTTCTGTTAGAAGGTTTGGGTTAGAGGGAGGTATTTTAAGTTAGTCTTTTGTATTTGATTGGTTAAAGTTCTTTTCATTTGATTGGTTAAGCTTCTTGACGTCATTTTGTGTTAGGAGAGGGCGGTGGGAGGTTGGTCTATTTAGCTTGTGGGGTCATCATTTTCTGTTAGAAGGTTTGGGTTAGAGGGAGGTATTTTAAGTTAGTCTTTTGTATTTGATTGGTTAAAGTTCTTTTCATTTGATTGGTTAAACTTCTTGACGTCATTTTGTGTTAGGAGAGGGCGGTGGGAGGTTGGTCTATTTAGCTTGTGGGGTCATCATTTTCTGTTAGAAGGTTTGGGTTAGAGGGAGGTATTTTAAGTTAGTCTTTTGTATTTGATTGGTTAAAGTTCTTTTCATTTGATTGGTTAAGCTTCTTGACGTCATTTTGTGTTAGGAGAGGGCGGTGGGAGGTTGGTCTATTTAGCTTGTGGGGTCATCATTTTCTGTTAGAAGGTTTGGGTTAGAGGGAGGTATTTTAAGTTAGTCTTTTGTATTTGATTGGTTAAAGTTCTTTTCATTTGATTGGTTAAGCTTCTTGACGTCATTTTGTGTTAGGAGAGGGCGGTGGGAGGTTGGTCTATTTAGCTTGTGGGGTCATCATTTTCTGTTAGAAGGTTTGGGTTAGAGGGAGGTATTTTAAGTTAATCTCCTTGTATTTGATTGGTTAAGCTCCTTGGGGATCAGGAACTTAGAGAATAGATCCTCAGCCCAATAGGGGCTTGTCGTAAGAGGCGACAGAAGGGTGTAGTTTAAGGGGTAGACTTAGGCTCTGAATTTTCTGAGAGGCTGGACTTTAAGTTGGTGTGTGCTTAAAAAGTACAACCTCCCAGAAAATTCTTCCCTTTAGGTGTTAGGAGGGTTTGGTTAGAAGAGGGTCTTTTTAGTTATTCTGTTTGTATTTGATTGGTTAAAGTTCTTTTCATTTGATTGGTTAAGCTTCTTGACGTCATTTTGTGTTAGGAGAGGGCGGTGGGAGGTTGGTCTATTTAGCTTGTGGGGTCATCATTTTCTGTTAGAAGGTTTGGGTTAGAGGGAGGTATTTTAAGTTAATCTCCTTGTATTTGATTGGTTAAGCTCCTTGGGGATCAGGAACTTAGAGAATAGATCCTCAGCCCAATAGGGGCTTGTCGTAAGAGGCGACAGAAGGGTGTAGTTTAAGGGGTAGACTTAGGCTCTGAATTTTCTGAGAGGCTGGACTTTAAGTTGGTGTGTGCTTAAAAAGTACAACCTCCCAGAAAATTCTTCCCTTTAGGTGTTAGGAGGGTTGGGTTAGAAGAGGGTCTTTTTAGTTATTCTGTTTGTATTTGATTGGTTAAAGTTCTTTGCATTTGATTGGTTAAGCTTCTTGACGTCATTTTGTGTTAGGAGAGGGCGGTGGGAGGTTGGTCTATTTAGCTTGTGGGGTCATCATTTTCTGTTAGAAGGTTTGGGTTAGAGGGAGGTATTTTAAGTTAGTCTTTTGTATTTGATTGGTTAAAGTTCTTTTCATTTGATTGGTTAAGCTTCTTGACGTCATTTTGTGTTAGGAGAGGGCGGTGGGAGGTTGGTCTATTTAGCTTGTGGGGTCATCATTTTCTGTTAGAAGGTTTGGGTTAGAGGGAGGTATTTTAAGTTAGTCTTTTGTATTTGATTGGTTAAAGTTCTTTTCATTTGATTGGTTAAACTTCTTGACGTCATTTTGTGTTAGGAGAGGGCGGTGGGAGGTTGGTCTATTTAGCTTGTGGGGTCATCATTTTCTGTTAGAAGGTTTGGGTTAGAGGGAGGTATTTTAAGTTAGTCTTTTGTATTTGATTGGTTAAAGTTCTTTTCATTTGATTGGTTAAGCTTCTTGACGTCATTTTGTGTTAGGAGAGGGCGGTGGGAGGTTGGTCTATTTAGCTTGTGGGGTCATCATTTTCTGTTAGAAGGTTTGGGTTAGAGGGAGGTATTTTAAGTTAGTCTTTTGTATTTGATTGGTTAAAGTTCTTTTCATTTGATTGGTTAAGCTTCTTGACGTCATTTTGTGTTAGGAGAGGGCGGTGGGAGGTTGGTCTATTTAGCTTGTGGGGTCATCATTTTCTGTTAGAAGGTTTGGGTTAGAGGGAGGT